CCCACAAAGCGCTATGTTTGTTTTTGGGGGCTTAGTGAAAACAATGGGTTTGAAAACATGACACTCTACACCATTATCGCATTTAAGGTTGTGTTTCTGCATCTTGATGGTTTCAGGTGGGCTTATAGTGCCAGATGTATCTTTACAATCGTGCTAGTCTTTGATGGTGGGTTTGGGTTCGTTTCGTTTATATGTATGTAGGATGCTTTTGGTGCCATCCTAAGGGGTACATCGATAAATAACTACACGTAGGGCTTTACCATGATCAGGAAATGGCAAGGAACTTAACTAAGTCTCAACCTCTTCCACACGTCTGTATAGAATCGGGAGTCGGGTACCCCTGCTTAGGAGCACTGGTCTTTATCATGCCGACTTGCGGGGGATGGATCTATCTTTCTCGGGGCACTACGTTACGTGGTCTTGTAGCTCAACTTTGATTAGAACAAATCGCAAGAGTGGTTTCTTCAACAAGTAACTAAGTAAAACAAGATTGCAACCATTCGACAATCACTGGAACAGCTTACTTGTGAAGTCGTGCGTTCAAGATTTTTGCCATGTGTGAGGTACTGACAGGTTACGCTGGGTGCATGACGGTGCTGACAGGGAATGCGGTGGCTGAGTTGGTCAGTGTTTGGTTGCTGCCCCTAGTTGAGTTCCTGGAGATGCAGTGGGTTATTGAACAGCCTTTTTCGAGCCTTTTTTTTGCTTGGCCGAAGCTGGCTCCCTTTCTCTCGGGTCCAAAGTGCTCAAGGGAGGTGCTTGAGTTGAGCACGTTTGGGGCCATTTGCTCGAAGCAGCTGATTCTGCAAGGAACCTGGTCAGGTCTTCCCCACTTGAAGATGATCGAGTGTGCCTTGAAAGATCTTTTGCCGCCCCAAAAGGATCTTGACCTTGCCAAGGCATCACAACCGTCCGGGAGGCCTGAGTGAGCCCAAGAGTTATTACCAAAGCCTTGGGGGTTCCATGACATTTCCCCATGTAGATTTCAGTCGAATTGCTCTGTTTAAATTCTAGGTCCACATGTCTTTTGACCATTAGTTGCTAGCAGATGGTCTTTCACGAAGAAATACTATTCATCCCAAATGTTTGTTGCAACAGTGTCCAGGCAACCGTGTGTACTATATATTATATATGGTTGTCTATCTAATATTGTGGAAACAAATTAAACTGTTGATTGATGACTTTGAAGTATTTCGTTCGCAGACTTTCATTATCGGTGAAACTGGCAGCTTCTATTTATATTTTATACATGAATCACTTCCTACTTGGGCCCCTCGAGGTGGATCACAGGCAACGAGTACACCTCCTTCAGTTGCGTCTACCCTGACTGTTTTGGATGTGCCGTGGGGTTTGCCGAGTCCATGCGGTTGATGGTTGACATGGGAGAGGACGGAGATCTCAAGCCTGTTTCAAAACAATGGGCCCTTGTTTTGAAAGCCTTTCACTACATGCCACTGGAGGAAGCTAAGAAAGAAGCGGATGAAGCAATTGCACTTGGTTTGAAATCTGTAAATTGTCAGTTTTGTTGACAACCTGGAACTATTTGGGGATGCGCAATTCTGTGTCCATTTCTTGTGGATTATATCTGTTTTGGCTACAGGTAGATTAGTCTTTTGGGGTGTTGTCCCATCCAGTCTCGGAAGCTTTCTGGGGCTTCCTTGTGTTTAGTTAAGGCTCGGCTGAAAGCCTCTGGGAAGAAGAGCTTTGATATGGACCCAGGTTGGCCTGGAATTGAGCATGACCTGAAGAACCTGGCCACGATTCCTATTCAAACACGTCGAGCATGGTTGAAGGAGAAACGTGATACAGGAAAGTTTGACAACTTCTTTCCTACAGGGAATGCAAAGCCGCGCTGCTCGTTTTCCCAGGTGAAGAAAAAAACTAAGGCAACCAAGGCTTCAAGTTCTTCCAGCAAGGCACCTGCAGAGAGCCTCAAGATTACCACTTTCTTTCCTTCCAGGAGAGACATGTCACAATGTTTCTTGTTAGTTTCACTTCTGCGTGGTGTTGTTTGTGAAGCGACAATGGTTTTTCCAATGCAGGCTTTATTGTCTCACTGGTTCGTGTCTAAGGAAGAGTTGCCATGAACTTGATCACAGTGCTGATGTCTGTATCTTTTCCAGGAGCCCGGTTCAATCTTGTGAACAGCATGGACATGAACAGCGAGCCAATGGCAAGCGTTTCAAGGCACGGAGTAGTTGAGGGATCTTAGGTGCCTCAAGTGTAAACTCTTACTGTGACTAAGGGTTTTTAATCTTTAAGTTTCTATTTATTCGAGCTTGATTCAACTAAAAACTGACGAGTTCGACGAGTCTGACGGGTCAGTATTGCCTATCTCCTGTCTTTACCTGGCTTTCCTCCCTCCAATCTCGTGTGCTGCAGGTGTTGAAGCCCATTGCGGAGTGCATTGATCTCGATGAGTGAAAGGCCATTGGTTTTAGTGGAGCCGTGAGCTTTCAAAATTACTTTACTTCGAGTTATCCCCACCATGACATCTATATGTTTTGTTACTGGCAAATCTTCTGGCATGTTATTTGACATATCTTCTGGCATTTTATCTGGCATATCTTCTGGCATTCTATCTGGCATATCTCCTGGCATTCTACCTGGCATATCTTCTGCAATATGTTCTGGCATATCTTCTTGGACTCTATCTGGCATCTCTTCTGGCATATCTTCTAACATTCTATCTGGCATTCTATCTGGCAAACCTTCTGGCATATGTTCTGGCAAACATTCTGGCACTTTATCTGGCATACAGTCTGGCATTCTATCTGACATTCTATCTGATCTGGCATACCTTCTGGCATTCTATCTGGCATATCTTCTGGCATTTTATCTGTCTTATCTTCTGGCATTCTATCTGGCATATCTTCTGGCATTCTACCTGGCATATCTTCTGGCATATCTTCTGGCACTCTATCTGGCATATTTTCTGGCATATCTTCTGGCATATCTTCTGGCATATCTTCTGACATTCTATCTGGCATTCAATCTGGCAAATCTTCTGGTGTTCTATCTGGCAAACATTCTGGCACTTTATCTGGCATACAGTCTGGCATTCTATCTGACATTCTATCTGGCATACCTTCTGGCATTCTATGTCGCATATCTTCTGGCATTCTATCTGGCAAACATTCTGGCACTTTATCTGGCATATCTTCTGGCATTCTTTCTGACCTTCTATCTGGCGTTCTATCTGGCATATCTTCTGGCATTCTATCTGGCCGTTGAGGTCCAAGCGGTGCTCACTGAGCTCGGAGGGTCCCAGGTTGAGGTCCAGCGGTGCTCACTGAGCTCGGAGGGTCCCAGGTTGAGGTCCAGCCGTGCGCACTGAGCTGGGAAGGTCCCAGGTTGAGGTCCAGCGGTGCGCACTGAGCTGGGAAGGTCCCAGGTTGAGGTCCAGCGGTGCGCACTGAGCTGGGAAGGTCCCAGGTTGAGGTCCAGCAGTGCGCACTGAGCTGGGAAGTTGGCGAAGAGCTTGGCGAAGAGTTGGCAAGGCGGAAGTGGAGGTGGAAGTTGATGCAGACATGATCGAGGAGAAACTGGAGGAGGAGGCGGAGGAGGAGAAAGCAGGAGGAGGACAACAGCTCTGATAAAATCTAACAACCCTCACCTGGCAGGTGGGGAATAATACTGAATCTGTTGGTTCTGAACCCCGATATATTTTTTTAATTTGACAACGGCATGAAAGTAAACAAAACCTACTTCATATTTATCATGGTAAAGAATGAATTTCAAGGGTCATTGGCATTTACAATTATGAATCTCTATCCGTTTGAAGCTTCCACCCCAAAGTCAGAAACAACATGATAGAACTCCCCTGCAGGTTTGGGGTGAATGGCTTTTAGGGATGCGTTTTGGTTGTTTGAGTCATGCTGGTCTGGGACAGTGCTTGTTGTAGCCAGTGGGCCCTGTATGGGCCAACTATCCTTGCACATGTCAGACATGTAACTGACCAGGAGGACGGGTATGTCAACATCTCAATTTGGTCCTGTTGCCAGGTCTCTTCATTTCGAGCCCTGTGCGTGCAGCGGTGTCTCCTCTGCCTGCAAGGACATTTGGGGGTGGGCCAAATGTCATTATATTGGTGGAGCCACCGTTTTTTTCACAAAGATCATTTTTTTTGTCAAAGCTCCGGGCCATAGTCGACCATGTGCAGCAAAGCAGATACAACTTTGAGACTGCCTCGTCTACCTCCAGAGGTGTTTCTGCAAGTTTGTTTTCTCAAGAGGTACAAGCTTGTGTGCATGGCCATGCCTAAAATAGACGACAAAAAGATTTTGCAAGACCAGCCATGGGAAGATCCTGCCTTTTTTGCCCCACCTGTGGGGGATGACAAGTGGATTACCACCAGCGACTGCCGCTGGATCTATCGAACACACAAGAAGCCTCGCAAGAAGGGATTCCATCCTATTCACAGAAGTTTCCCTTTGAAGGATGTGTCCCGCCTTTCCCTGCAACGGATTACTGTTGCCTTTCCGGAATGCCAAAGGACGGGGAAGACCGTGGCTACATCAATGATGGATCGTTCTATCTTCATTGACCAGTTCTCCGATGTGAAGCCTGAAGTTGAGACCTTGAACACCCGGTGGAGAGGTTATACCTTTTTTCGTGTTCTTGATCGTGACGAAGATCAATGTGAAAAACCGAAGGATGAGACTTTGGCATCTGCCTCTGACCAATTCTTGAACAGCACTGACGATGCCAATGACTTGGAAGAATTCGTACTAATTGCCTAGAGAAAATTTGAAGGAACAATTCAAATGCAAATTTAATTACCCGACCCGCAGTGGTAGCTAGCAGCTTTGACCTGCATGGAAAAAAATGCGAGTGGAGCGTTGGTCCTTTCAAAGTGTCTCCAAGTTTCTTGTTTTCGAGCTGGTATGTAGTTTGTATGTGTCATGTATTTTGTCTCTGTGTGGTTTCAGTAAGTAGCAGCTTCTGATGATACTAGAACTAGTGACGGACAACTAAAAGTAGGCTTTCCTTGCTTTACAAATTCAAACCCTGACTTTCCCACATGTTGCCTTGCCAGGACAGAGCCTCTTGCCTAGGATGCGGGCAACTTTCCAGCCGGGGCTGGCCAGCAGGACATGACCTGGAGGGGACAGCCTGGAGGGGTCAGGTGTGGTCTATTTTAAATCTGTCGACAGCAAGATACTTACAAGCTTCAAGAATTGTAGCTCCCTGCAGATTTGCATCTCTTTCACAGGTTCTGCAGGTTTGTCGCTGTACTTGGTCCAGCTTTGTTTGTGGCAATCTTTGTTTGAGCATTGCGGCCAGCCTCACATTGAGAACACTGGTTGCTTATAAGAGACTTTGTTGATGGCTGAGTTGCTTCGCATCTCAGATAATGGTATGGGTTCGAATTGCATTTGCTTCTGTTTGATACCAATCTGAATGCATTTCTCTGCAGGATGCGCATGCCAGTTCCTGCAGTGACCTGTGGGGAAGCCATTGGATGTTTTGAGTGGCCTTGCTGCTGGTGGCAACATGGTTTACAAATAGATGTCTTTAATTCATTGACGCTTGGTCCAGGTCCACGCTGACTTCTGGATGCTATTCCCAAAATTCAGACATGAGATGCCGGCATTTACTGCGTCTCAAAGTGAAATTCCGATATCGTGCTCAAAGGGTGAATTTTGCATTGCACTACTTATGTCACATATGTCATCGATGTCTTCCTGACAGGAGAAGGTTGCTTTCCAGAGGTTTAGCATTCATACCACAATTTCCTGTTGGTCTTAGATGTTAGTCTTTCTGCTTCATTGCATTAGCTTCGGCGCTTCTAGGCTCTGGGAAAGTAGCCTGTGCCTGCTTGCCTTCTACATTCTTACTGTAGGGGGTCTAGCTATGGCCAAGTCCTCTAGGAAAAAGGACAAGAAAGAAAGGAAGAGAAAGGGAAAGAAAAGGTCATCTTCCTCTAGCTCCTCCCGAGAAGAAATCGCGGAAGACCCAGAGGATAGGAAGAAGACCCTTGCAGTTGCGTCCACGTTTGGTTTGACTCTAGGTGCCACTTTGCATTATGATTTCGAGATTTCCACCAAGTAACTCTGTAATTCCAAAAATACGACATAAAGCTATGATTAGATTTCTCCTGTTGACCGTTGTATTTTCCTGTCCATAGACTTCTTTCCTCCACTCCCTTGCTCACCAGATAAAATCCAGGAAAGCGAAAGCTTTGCAACTTGGCAAGGCTTGCTCCAGGATTTCAGACCTCAAAGTTGAGCAGCTGGCTATCATACTTCAGGTCCATGATACGTTGACAAGCCAGACTCTTTTCTCCATGGGCGGTGAGCTGCTGGAGGTGCACCGCAGAGCACTGAGCTTGCAGAAACGTCAGGAAGATGGTTCCCACCGTGGTCTGGAGATTCGTGTTGAAGTTTCGAAACGCATGGGATGGTCGGAGAAGCGGTGGAGAGACAGATTGGTATCAATTCTGAAGCAAGGCTTGTTCATGAACAAGTACATGTGCAAATCGTTATTTTGCAATAGCTCATTTGCATTCCATGGTTTGCAATTTGACCTAGCAAGTGTGGTTGAAAACCTCCAAGCCATGAGTACATATTTCGAGTTATCATCTGAAGAGATGTGAACTATGGGCCATATGGGTAAGTAGAGGGACAAATCCTTGGAGGTGTTGCCTTGCCTCTACGGCCCCTGGTCAGTTGGCAACATGGACAACATGTCGGTCATTAGCCAGCACTCTTCTTTGGTTTCCTTGCGCAGGCCGGCTGGGGGAAGGGCCTGCAGGTCAAGAATTTCTTACACTCACATACCTCCTGGACTGGCACCTTCTTTACTGAAAGCCCTAGTTTCCATGAATGTCTTCCCTGTTTCCATTGAATTTTGCCAGGTCCATCATGAATGAGGTGGAGGTTCATGAGAAATCAAGTGAGGCCGCAGGCTGGTTGTCCACCCTGAAGAAGTTGATTCAAGATGCCAAAGCTTTGGCAGCTGATGACATGCGGAAAGATCAGACAGACACCAGGCGTACTACCAGTCCCGAGAAAACAAGGAGGGGCAAGTCTAAGAAGGTGAAGAGGGATAGAAAGAAGAAGTCAAGGTCCAGATCCTCATCGGCCAACAGATCTGACAGTGATGAGGCCAGGTGTGAAAGTAATAGGTTTTAAAGGATTGTATTTTCTTCAGATTGCAGGCTTCATCACCGAAATGACTACTAAGTTTCACAAGAGCTACCTTTTGAAAACAGGAATGGGTTTCCGTGCAACTTGCCCTGCAGTCCAGCAAGTCTCGCAGTCCACGACGACCTGCCTCAGTTTCGCCAGTCTTTGACGACCGCTTCAGGAGTGGTGGTTCCAATGCTCCTGGGAGGAGACCATCCCGGGGCAGAGGGGGCGGCCATCGTCGTGCGTCTCGAAGTACCACTGCTCCTCCAAGCACCGCTGGAACCAGCAACGATGAGATGGAGGCCTTCTTTGATATCGATCTCAAACGCTCTCTCTGTGGCAGCAACGACAGGATGTTGTACTTGAAAATGGTCAGAGCGGAAGGATTTGACACTGGATTGCGCAATAAGTTTTTGAGTTCACACCCAGAGGTATTATATAAGGCGATTGGGTTTCCAGAATTGTAAATTAATTCCACTCTAGTGTCACCTGGCTTTGCTGTCATGAGCCTGCTTCTTGATCCTTGCATGATTTTCAGGATGATGTGTCCTCCTTTCTTCAAGGAGTTCGTGAGGGTTGGAGCCCAGAGGAATCGTGTTGCTCTCAGGAATGCAAGGAGTTTCTGCGTTGCATGACTTGGGTGGGTCGTCGTGCGGCCAAGAAGTTCACTGAGCTAGTTGCTGGAAAGATGGACGGGGGTACTGGCCAATATGTTTTTTGTTTGGCTTGCTATAGCTCAAAACTCTCTGTTGTTTTCAAGACTCGTTCCAACAAGTTAAAGGCAAGTTCGAAGTCTTTGCTGAACTGATCTGATGGTATTTGTGCCACCAGGATGAGTATATGGCTGAACTCGACAGGATGGCGTTCGGTCGTGAGAAGCCGCTTCCCGAAGCGCTTGTCGAAGGAGACAAGCCACCTATCGAAGACAACCAGGCCGATGACCAGGAGGAGAATGAGGACTCCCCTGAAAGCGGTTCGGGGCCGGCCAAACCCGGTCTTCCTTCTTTTGTGTTGCCTGGCTCGCCAACGGGCCAGGATTGAGCTAAGACTAGCGTTTTGCTCGGCATGGTGTGTTCTGGACACATCTGCAGCTTGAGACGTGCAGCTGTGCACATGGGGCCAAAAAGAGTTTGGGAGATGATTTGGAAGTCACCTGCCATCGTTCTTTCTTGTGCAGTTGTAGAAAACACCGTTCTCTCGCCCATGTGATCGTTCTCTCGAGAAGCAATCGTTCTCACGACATACCATCGTTCTCACCAGAGGAATCGTTCTCATGAAAGTTTTCGAGAATGAAAATGAAAAACAGTTTTTGATCAAAAAAAATGAGAAGAAGGATGTTTGAGAAGAATGGGTAGGGTTGGATTTTAGGGGGGTTAGAATCGACTTAGCGCATTCTTCTCAAACAATCGTTCTTCTTAAAAAAATCGTTCTTCTCGAAAAAAAAGAAGGAAAAGGGCCAGAACAAATTCTGCAGTTTGAATACTTGTGGAGTTGACAGATTGGGGCGATGTGGTTGCCTTTTGGTTTTCCAGCCTCTGTGAGCGGTTCATTGACTTTGGGCACACCTTTGCGGCAAGGTACCAGAGGGTTCTCGGCTCTGTGTAAATAGGCGCCTAGTCTCCTCTGGTTCATACTTTGGAGGACATTTCACCTCATGGCTTCTTCGAAGCGTGTGCTGCTTCCGATAGCCTCGGAATCTCCTTCCTCCAAGAGAGTTCGGCCAAACCCTGACGATGAGCAAGTAACCCAAAATTCGACTCCAGCTTGTTCGCCGATTGACATTGATGGGGAGGAGAATGCACAGCTGCCTGAGCCTGATTTGTCAAGGACCATAGCTGTTTCTGGACAGGTTCGATATGAGGATATTCCGGAACATTTGTTTACGGATGCGCAGCATGAAGATGCTTGTGTGTGCTTAGCGTGCCAATGGTACGGGTTCACCCAAAATTTAGGCAATTAAGTTGCTACAGTGTGAGTTGCCTTAGGCACAAGCTTGAACAACCTCTGCTGCAATCTCAATTCGTTGTTTTGCTTTTATGAAAGCATTGAATTTGTTTATTCTCTTACCGGTCGATGTGAGAAAAAGAAATAGCGTTGATTCATGCTTCAGCTGGCCTACAAGATCAGGCACATGACATGTGCTTGAACAAGCAGACTTGCTTCATACCGCAGGGTCGATTTGACATCTCAGTTTCTGAATGCCTTCTCTGTCAACTTGTCGTTGTTCATTTGGATCAGAGTCCTTGCCGGCTTTGTGGAGTTTTGTTTCTTATACGAAACTGTAGAGTATGGACATCAATGGGTTCAAAATGCCTGAACTTGCTTGTCCCATGTGTACTTAATAGGTGGGAACATTCCTTCACTGGTTCTTTTGGACACATCCAAATTGTCACATATTTGGTGCCTCGAATGACTTCTCCTGATGGAGAGGGTGCTGGAGATGTCGACATGTCTCCAGCCTTGCTGATGCCTCAGGACCCCACTCCTATTGCCAAACATACTCGCGCCAAGATATTCCTATACCACCAATATGTTCTAGAAAGACAGTGGCCATAATCGTTTGTGATGTCAATTGTTCTTCTTTCCAGATATCCTTCTCATATCTCATCTCCCTACAAGGATGAGTGGGAATCCAAGCTCGGTGAGCTCCTCGCTGAGCTACCCATTGTCTTGGACGATGACGAGGAGATGGAAAGGAAACGCAGGGTTTCCGTGGAGGAGATTCGGGCCATGGTTGCTAGCAGGTGCATGGAGCTATGTCATGGCACCAACGGGCCCGATCGGAGACTAGATCTTGAGTCTACGAAGCAAGGGTTCTTGGACCACTTGACCAAGCTGAAAGAAATCCACGGCCCTGACATGGTGTTCGGTCCATGTCCCTGCAGCCAAACCTCCGAGGAACAGGGTGGAGACCTGAAACGGTCGAGTACCAGCCAGAGTTTGCAGTCTGATTCCACTTCTTCTGCTGCCTCCACAGATAGCTCTGTCAAACACAAGCTTTTTTACCTGTGCAAAGAGGGAACAGTCTGGACCGTTGTGCAGGCGACATTGGTTGTACAATTGCTTGTCTTGAGAGTGGTTCCCCCAAAACACCCCAAACACCTTGTACACGCACACAATGTATATATATATATTATATGTATATATATATATATATATTATATATGTGTGTGTATATCGATGTGTTTGTTGTACACATACATATGGTCAATACAGATCTCTGCAAATATATCTATATATATATACACATGGATAGACGTTGTACATACGCACACATGCATATACATATGTATATATATATATATATACATATTATATATATATATGTGTGTGGTGTTGAAAATATCAGTGCTCTTTTCTGAGACCTGACAGGTTGAGAAGGCCTACGAAGGCTACCGGTGTTACCTATCATGCAATGAGTGGTATACCTTGCGCACACCATTCTCGCAATGGTACACGAAGAACTGGAATATTTCAGCGCTGGAAATCGGAGAAGAGTTGGGCATGGGTGAGAGACATGTGACTGGATTTTTGAGAAACCATACTGTAGTTTTTGCTTATTTTGGGCCCACGTTACCATGGATGCCTTGTACAGAGATCCTGGAAATCTCCTTTCCTTGCTGGCATGTGTGTGCGTGCGCGTTTGTGAAAAACAAATTTCATAGACTTCTTACGTGAGCATCTGAGGTGCTTCGAAAGCGTAGCTGGTGCTCAGTCCACTGGTTCGGCTTCACTCCCAGTGGATGGTGCGACATCGCTTGGGATCTTGCAGGTCTTGGCTTCGGTGCTTCCTGCAAATGGTTTGCAAGCAGCGGCTATTCAGCAGTGCTACGAGATTTTGGCATTTGTGAGCCACTTCATGTCAGTGAATGTCACTTTGTTTCCCTTGGGGCAGCGTGTCGAATGCGAGCTCGCGATCACAAACAATGAGATGAATACCAAGCAACTTCAGGTTGTCCTAAAGCGTGCTGGGTTGCAGTGGTTCAGGCCAGGGTTCACGTTTCCATATCTTCCAGACCCAGCGAATTGTGAATCCTAGTTCCTCCCTGTTTGTTTTCAATTTGATTAACCACATTTCTTCTCCACTTGTTTCTGACCCATCATTCTACAACCTCTGATGTTGCACTGCGCCATGTTGTTGTCCTTTAGGTTTCACAAGAAATTGCCGAAACCTTGCCAAGACACAGTGAATCTGGCCAGTTGCCTGATCTCTCTCTTCCGTGTGCGAGCTGAGCAAAGTTTCTGGTTAGCCAGCCCAGCTGTTCGACGTCTGACAAAGACCCTTGCATCTTGTTTTGCCCAGCATGCTGAGCTAGCCATTGAGAAGGCCATGCGACGGGATTGCCCCGACCCTTGCCTTGAATCCAAGTACCACCCTTTCACAGCAAGTTCCAGAAGAAAAGGGTCGAAGGCTCTACAGATGGTCTTGATTCAGCGCTTTGCGGCGAAGGGAGGTGGATTTGTGACATGCAAACATGAACAAAGTCTTCAAAGTCTTGGTGTAGTTCAAGCAGGCAGCAGCTTGGCCACTAGGACGGCTAGCGAGTACTGTGTGAGAGCATTGTGCGCAACAGCCAACTTCTGCGCAGACTACATTGACAATGCACGCCTGAAGGTGATCAACTTTGCCATGGATGCAGCCAGCATTGGGGGTGAACATGCAACTCGTGGTTCGTTTGAGCCGTATATTTCTTTTGCCCTTAAAGATAGCCTCACTTTGAAGGATCTGAATGAGATGATATGTTTGACCACTTCTATAGGCCCTTTTCCGATGCGAGGTATTGAGTGTCATTCTTCGACTCAATGGGAGGCATTTCTCTGCTCCCACGCAGCTTCTCCCGTCCGGTGCTGACCCAGAGGAATGTGTGGATGCAATGAAAACGTTCACTGAAGCTTTGAAGGTTGCAGCTGGTACTCCTCAGGGTGAAAATGTGAAAGTTCCCCCCGGCTCTTTTTCTTGGAAGTCCTATCGTCAGGCAACGAAAGCTACTCTTGCTGGCCTGTCGAACTCGCTTCGGAACTGCCTGCCAGCATCGTGGAGCTTCACAAAATGCCTTCCACCGAATGTGCTGTCTCCTGCGGCTCTTCACAGCGACAGGATCTCCATGATTCCGCTGGAGAAGCAGATGTACGGGATGGATGGCAGCAAGAACTTGTTTTTCAACTATTGCTACAAGAGCTTCAAGTCTGAGCCGCAGTTCTACCTGCACGAGAACTTTCATCGTTTGATTTTTAGTGCGGACGAGGGGACTGAGGCACATTCAGATGTTCAGCCGTTTGTTTGACTTGAAAGACTGGCTTCTCTGGACCCGTTTCTAATCTGGTTTTTTACAGTGATTTAAACGGTTTATATTATTCAGTGGATTATTCTATCCTAGAATTTTTGCCTTCTACCTGCAGGGATTCCTGGGCTTTCTCCACTTGGCGAACAGCAACTTGTACGTGCTGATGTGGCCTGACATCTTCCACAAGATCAACAGACGGGTTGCTCAGGCCCTCAACCACCCTGAATGCGCAGAGCTGAAGTTACTACTCAAGCAAGCCATGAAACTTTTTCGCTTCAGCAGAGCACCTTTCAGCACGGGAAGGTTTGGACAGATGATTTCCGAGGCTCGAGTTGACCTTTTGAGAGCGTTGAAGGCTGGCGAAATGGAAGAGCTGGTCGACATGTGGCTGTCAGGGGTTGCAAAGGATCGTGGTGTGCAGGATGACTCCATGAGCAAGACAAATTTGATTCAACTGCTCGAACGATGTACACGTACCTCATCCAGAAATTGTCATCCCATTTTACTTTCACTAGTAGAAGAATGTTCGCTTTATGTAGGCGATTTTGCGCGCCAAATTTGTCAAAGCATTTTCGTGCACACACGGCCCTCCAATCACGTGTTTCAGCTGTAGAAAATGAATGGCAGTCTCCACGTAGGAAGTCGCAATGTGCTGAGCAGTGAAGCATCGATGGGCCGATGGATGAGTTTTTGGGACCATTGTCAACGATGGGACCAGCGATGGCACTTGGAGCTCATGGTTCACAGCTTTTCCTGGTGGCAGCAAGGAAAAAGCCCTTGGGATCTGCACCGATCTGTTGGAGGTTCCGATTCTTCTGACACCACTTTTTCTCACCGAGTCAATGCCTGGTGTGTGGCCTGTCCTATTTAGGGCCTTTCTTCTATTCTGGATAATTTCGACCTGTGTTGCTGTGTGTTGACGACTTCAATAACTTTTAAAATGTTACGACCACTAATACTACCACCACTACTACTACCAGCATTCTACCACCACCACTACTACCACCACCACCACTACGACTTCTTATTCGGGTACGAGAAGTCTACTGCCTGCTAGTTTTTCCAGTTAAGATCCCAGGCAATTTCTTCTTCTCCAACCATATTTCTGATTTTTTTTGGGAGGTGCTCGCGGATGACTCCAACCAAGACAAGCTTCGCTCAGTTGTCATTTGCTTCAAGCCTCTTCGCGAATACTTGGGCCAAGTGGTGCCTAGACTACTATATGAAAATGGGCTCCATGTACTTTTGCTTTTTTGTCCTTCTCGGACTTCGGACTTGGGCATCTCAGTGTTGCAAATCCCTGATGCAAGGACGCGGACATGCAGCGCAAGCCAACCGCTTCTGTGCAGCACAGTGTCTACCTTGCGAGTGGGAAAAGCGTGCAGAAACTCATCTCGTTCCTTGGCTTTTTTTTGAGCTTTTCATCTCTTTCTTTGTTCTGCTACTGTGGCTTTCCCTGGGGCCTCGCTAGTTCGAAAAAGCCTTCAACTTGCATATATCTGAGGAGAACTGTGGCTTCAGCAACCTCGCGAGAGTCACTCCTTTTCATCGGAGCTTTGTGTGATGATGAGGAAGCCACCGACAAACTGAAGCTTCATTCCTCTCTCTTGTTGGCCATTTTGGGGGCCCTGTGCGATCTCGACAGCAATCACCGTGCACTTCCTTGGCGGGTTTCTGTCGCTATTGACCATACACAGTTGCCATCCTTGCTGAAGTTCATGGAACAGGAATGGTTCTTTGTGAATGCCGTCATTGACACTCTCGATGACAAGGAGCCATTGTGGAGATTGCTGAGCCATACACGCTGGCAAGTCTACCGTGATTGCATGACGAAAGGGGAGCAGCTTTGGGGGCAGTTTATTTTTTTTTACTGTTGAACTCCCATTGCCCGCAATATTATGTTTTCGTCGTATATACGACTACAGTTTAGAGATGAGATGGAACCTAAATCTCTTTCCGATAGTGGTTCCAGTGTCTTGTTCTGACATTGGTCAGTGACTCGTGAGGCACTTTGGTTTCAGCTTGGCAAGGATCAACTCACCTGCTGCAGCTCCATTCCTTGACGTTGTTCGCATTGTGTTGGGGCTGACCTCGTCTGATGAGAAGCAGTCTGACTCCTTGCTATCTTCTCTTCACAGCGAACTGTGCTTCAACGATTTGAGAGATGCATGCAAGAGAGGAAGCAAGAAAGAACGACAGAGCCCAAGCAATTTCCACTGTGTCAGCATGAAATCTTGTGCCCGACGCAGCTCTGGTTGCTTGACTGTTGAAGTTGAAGATTCTGACTGGCAAGATCCTCTCCCTCGAAAGCACATCCAGAGTTCGGTGTTGAGCGCTCTCCGCCTCACAGATAGAAGCCTGGGAATCCCCACAAGCGGCCTTACAAAATGCAAAGCTCCCTTGCTTACGAAGCCGCATGTCCTGTCTCAGAGGCTAGGACTTCTGAAGTGCTTGCAGAGAATCTTTGAAGCTTGCAGTGGGTCCTTGGAAGAAAAGCGTGACATGGCCCTGAATGCTTACCACGACCTGTGGCTTAGCAAACTTGTGGTGGAACACACTCTGATCCGAGTCAAGAATGAGAGCAAAGAGTTTGCTTCCCACCCAGACTTGGTCTTGACGGCTGGACCCTTCACCATCTTGACCATAGCCTTGACCCCTGCTTCTGCTCATGAGCCTGAGCTCTACCGACTTTGCACAAACACTGAGGAGAAAATTGTCACAGACCTGACCAAGTTTGAGCTTGCGCTTTGTGAGCCGGTGGTTGAAGAGGGCACCATGTCCTTTCGTGCTAAGGGGGAGTACCTGTCTTTGATAGACTTTACGGCGCAGCATGGGATTCTCACCATAGCCCCTGGTGTCTTGCGCAGTCTCATGGCAAGAATGAAGATCAAGAAAGCCGGGAGTCTGACTCACCGACTGAGGGTGGAATTGTTTCTCCAAACAGTTGGATGTTCGCAGACATATATCGAAGAGATCATGCAGCAAATTCCCGAGAAACCTCCCCGCAGGAGGAAAGCTAGGGACGAGCCAGGGGATGAGGAAGCCGAGGACTCAATCTTTTGTCAAAACTGAAATAGAAACAGGAAACGAAAAGTTTATTTTTTTCAAATTTCAGAACGACATTACTTTACTTTGAGTTATCCCCACCATGACATCTATACGTTTTGTTACTGGCAAATCTTCTGGCATTCTATTTGACATATCTTCTGGCATTTTATCTGGCATATCTTCTTCTATCTGGCATATCTTCTGGCATTCTACCTGGCATATCTTCTGCAATATGTTCTGGCGTTCTGGCATATCTTCTGGCACTCTATCTGGCATATCTTCTTGCATATCTTCTGACATTCTATCTGGCATTCTATCTGGCAAACCTTCTGGCGTTCTATCTGGCAAACATTCTGGCATTCTATCTGACATTCTATCTGGCATACCTTCTGGCATTCTATCTGGCATATCTTCTGGCATTCTATCTGGCATTTTATTTGGCATATCTTCTGGCATTCTATCTGGCATATCTTCTGGCATTCTACCTGGCATATCTTCTGGCATATGTTCTGGCACTCTATCTGGCATATCTTCTTGCATATCTTCTTGCATATCTTCTGACATTCTATCTGGCATTCTATCTGGCAAACCTTCTGGCGTTCTATCTGGCAAACATTCTGGCACTTTATCTGGCATACATTCTGGCATTCAATCTGACATTCTATCTGGCATACCTTCTGGCATTCTATCTGGCATACCTTCTGGCATTCTATCTGGCAAACATTCTGGCACTTTATCTGGCACATCTTCTGGCATTCTTTCTGACATTCTATCTGGCATACCTTCTGGCATATCTTCTGGCATTCTATCTGGCCGTTGAGGTCCAGCGGTTCTCACTGAGCTCGGAGGGTCCCAGGTTGAGGTCCAGCGGTGCTCACTGAGCTGGGAAGGTCCCAGGTTGAGGTCCAGCGGTGCGCACTGAGCTGGGAAGGTCCCAGGTTGAGGTCCAGCGGTGCGCACTGAGCTGGGAAGGTCCCAGGTTGAGGTCCAGCGGTGCGCACTGAGCTAGGAATGTCCCAGGTTGAGGTCCAGCAGTGCGCACTGAGCTGGGAAGTTGGCGAAGAGATTGGCGAAGAGTTGGCAAGGCGGAAGTGGAGGTGGAAGTTGATGCAGACATGGTCGAGGAGAAACTGGAGGAGGAGGCGGAGGAGGAGGAGAAAGCAGGAGGAGGACAACAGCTCTGATAAAATCTAACAACCCTCACCTGGCAGGTGGGGAAAAAAACAATTCCTCGACAGGAGGAAGAGCCTGGAGACGAAGACTGGGATCGTTTGGACGGGCAATCCGAAGACGAAGAGCTGGGTGAAATGGTGAATGTTGTTTGTGGCATGTGTGATGAAAAGGATGATGACCGGCAAGGTGATCATGAACCTGTGGCAGAGAGGAAGCCAGAGCCAGATGTGGTTCCGGTGGAAGAACCCAAGGATCCCGTAGCAGAACCTGAAACAGTCCCTCACCTTTGTTTGATCGTTTTTCCCCCTAAATGCTGGTTAAGGGTTAAGGCGGTTAAGGGTCTCTAGATTTTACAGATTGATCTGGTCCCTCCTCCTCTCCTCTCCTCCTGGCAAAGTCCACCAGCTTATTTTTCCAACACTATCAAAAACATTTTTGCAAGTGTTTGCCCTCTTTCGGTCCCTAGGCACTATGGCAGGCTCACCACAATGCGAGGGGCGCCGTAACAGAACACATTACATAACAGACAGAATCAAACAAAAGAAATGCCAGCTAGAATATCCGAACATATGCTAAATAGAATGTCATAAACTTTGTGCCAAATAAAATGTCAAAACATAAATATGTCACAAACACACGTTAGACAAATGGTCAAAACGTAGGTCAGCTTCGGTATTCTGACTCATTATATGTGTACGTCACGAGCATGGCAATGATCTTGCCTGTTCTTGTTCAGAGTGTCTACCAACATGATACTGCAGGTTTTGGTTGCAAATGCAAGTCTCGTGCTGAGGTGTTTTTTTACTGATATGTTTGCTTGAAAAGACCAGAGATGCAGCGATGAACAATGCCGCGGTGGGGATCACAAAAAGTAAAATAAGATTTCGTCGATGGGAGTTGTTGAAAATCAATTTGCCTGCAAGATTCACGTTTTGACATTTGAAACCAAAAACCAAGAGGTTCTGAAAGAAAGGTTATGTCTCATCGCGTTGATGCAGCCATTTAAAGGCTACATGTCTTTTTCCGAACAGATTGCTTTCCACGTACTACCTGAAGCAAACGGGCCAGGTACGAGCTGATGCTGGAAAAGTTCATGCTGACCAATGTGCACGAGGGCGTCCGGAGGGTGAATGGCCACCAGGATCAAAGCCATATTTTGGCAACCCTGCCACTAGCTCTCCGTTTGTCCAGTGCTACTTGCCACAGGGCTTTGTGTTTCAAGGCCGAAAATCAAAGTCCCTGAGCTTTCAAGAGGGACCTGCTAGCACAGTTCGTGGCATCTGCCGCTCAAAGGAGGCAGCCATTCTCGGTGTACAGACATGGGCATGGCAATGGTTCAACAGTCTCAAAAAGGAAGACAAGAGCTCCCTGGTTGAGACGGATGCTTTGGCTGAAAGACCAGCCAAGAAAGCTCGCGTCAACTGATGGAGGCAGAATGTGACTTAAGTTTTCTGGTTCAGTGAAATCATTGAACCTCAACTCCTTTTCAGGGGTGAGTGCCTGCAGCTGCAGGCCCGGGGTTTGAGTACGAATGTGCTCTGCTGATATTGGGGACTACGGGCTGGTAAAACGGAAAAGTGCGCAAGGCCAGAAACCTGTGACTGAGACTGTTGAAAGCATTTGAGCCCAAACCATTTTGAATCTCAATTTTTGATCAAAAAAGGCAGAAGTTGAAATAGCTATTCGGAATGGGCAGGGTTGGATTAGAATATATTTAATGATGACAGTACCCTCCATGGACCCTGCTATTTATAGGGGTTGGAAGATTAGTATCCACTAAAAAGTAATTTTTATGTTCAGGGTCTATGTTAAGTTGCCGAAGGCTCTCAGAGGGTAACCAAATCCAAGTTGCAGCATGGTTCCCAAAGATCTCGGCTCAATCCCTTCCGTGGCATGACGCTGGAAATCCACTCCTGCGGCCAGCAGAAAGTTCACGGCCGCATCCGTGTGAAAGTCCCTTGACAGGTCATAGTGTAGGTTGAAATTCCAAGCCCCAAGGCACTTCCCATAGCTGCTACCAATGGCCACAGCAATTTGGATCACGGGCAACAACTCAACGCTCTCCTATACCGGGTAGTTGAAACTATCCATCCCAAAAATCCAACATGTAAAATATGTGAATATCATCATGCCATTTTTAGGAGTGGAACATAAACAAATATGTGAAACCTTGTGAAACCATCCATCAGCTGTATCCCCGGTATTGCATAGTATTGCTACATAATGATATGCATTGAAGTATACTAAAATCATCTGGTTGGTTATACAAATTATATACATCCTATACTACTCCCTATGTGTGTTGAATATTGGAAACCACCAGTCAGTCCTTCATTGCCCTATAGTGCGTTTCATCGGATTCCTTCCAGGCGTTCTCCTGGAGAACCCCTGGAAACTCTGTATCAATCGCGACAACTGCACCAGCTCCGGCAAATCGCAAGGTGTGGCTGAAGAGAATGAACTCATTTTGAAAATTTCTGGCCCAGACCTTAGATCCCCCAGGTTCAGCTGTTATTTGGAGTTGGAAAAAAAACCGGGGAAAAGAAACGACAAAAAACAGAAAACACAAAATCCGAGACACTTCTCGAATCACACCGTTTCTGTGATTTCTTTGCATTTCTTCACTGACCTGCGAACTGTGCAAAGGTCAGGGGGATTTCTTTCACAAAGCCCTTGGCTGCACGTTGGCTGCGCTGATGGCTCGGTTCGCAACGAGGGTCTCCGCTGCAAAGCTGAGCCAAATGTGGCAGAAGTGCACCATTTTATAGCGGTGATGTATGATGGGAATGATTGTTACTATTCTTATTATTATATAGATATATAGTGGGATATAGAACATAGATGAACATAGTGGGATATAGAACCAGAATAATACTGTCAAACATATCAGACATCAGGCAACAATCAACCCACCATAAATTGGTCATGTTCAATCGCTTTGAAACGGGTCTCTTCATGGCTCTTCCCTTCCCCAAGCCCAGAAGATCATTCAGGATCTATGTTAGGTAGCCAAAAGGTGACCCTATATTGATGTTTGCAGTTAATTGTAGTTCATTACTTCCCGAATGCATGAGGGTGTTGTGATATTCCCCCTCACTAAAGCATGTCGCGATTGGTTTCTTGATTGAAACATGTTGACCAACCCCGTGGCACAGTCCAAAAACTGTCCGGTCAGGCGGGACCATCATCCGTGACGGAGAAACTTTTTCGCAGAAATGGATGAAACATGAATGAAACATGATGAAAACACCAAGAAAAGAAAGAAGTGACTAATTAACCATCTATGTAGCCTCTATCCACTGCCAGTATACCGATTGATGAAATTTCCACGTCAATGGGTCAGAATTCTCCCCGATAAATAAGATTGAACAAGGGAGTTTAGCCACTACTAGTATGATAACAACCGCAACAAAACTCATGGCTCATTTCATGATTGATTGCAGCAGCAAAGAAGTTTCTCCCTCCCATAGCAAATCAAGCGCCCCCGCCAATGCTTCCATCAACGCATCAGTGACCACCAAGAACTCTTTGAGAAGTGCCTGCATGGCAAGACTTCTGAAAAGTACTACAAACGTTTGAATATATAGCAGCAAAACAAACAAAGTCAACTCCTTCTAAAATAGTGATAGTTGTTTAATCATGTTTGTTCAATCCGTGTTGCGATCGTTTCAGTGGTGCGAAGTGACCATCACCTTTCTTTCTTGGGAAAACCCACCATCACAAAACATCTCATTCTGACTGTTAATCCATGTCCATCCCAGCATATCATCGACTGCTTTCCCTGTCATTGAAATGTAAGTAGCTTCTATGAATATGTGTGTATATAAGTACATTACATATAAATATATATATATGTATTATAGTACACGATATAAATATATATATATATAATATATATATATATAGTATATATATGTATTATAGTACATGATATATATATATATGTATGTATATAATGTATTGTATTATATTATGTTATAGTATATTATATATGTATTATATATGGAGGTGTCCAATCCATGGAGGTACCCCAAATCATCCAAGTCATTAGACCATGACTTAGTATTGAAACAACCATGGCAACCTGGGGATTCACCAATTTTTGGAAATCATTCCGCCCCTCCTGAGTCACCGATGGGGTCACACATGGTGCTTACCAATGTGGAATCCACCTCCAGAGTGTGAAACAGTGTGAAGGGTCCGTGGTAAATGAACGCCGTCAAGATGCTGCACATGGTAATCATAGCCGCTCAAGTCGTCAAGCTTTGCAGGTTGCTTGGCAAGGTCACGTGTTCCAGGCTCTGGACAAAGTTGTTACCAAATTCCAAGTTGTGCAAACCGCTTGGCAAAGTCACTTCTTCGAGGCTTTGGTTAAAGCTATGGCCAAAAATCAAAGTCTGCAGACCACTTGGCAGCGACACCCGACCAAGGCTCTGATCGAACATGTCACCGAATTCAAGGCTTTGCAAACTGACTGGCAAAGTAACCCTGCAAGGCTCTGGTCGAACCAGAAACCAAAAACCAGGTTTTGCAAATTGCTTGGCAATGTCACTTGTTCTAGGCCGGAGAATTTGCAAAGCTTGACAATTTGCAATGTTTTCAATCAGAGCCTTGAACATGTGACCTGGCCGAGCAGTTTGCACAGCTTGGCTCTTGAAGGAAGAATGCCCAAAGTGGCTGTCCCAAGCAGTCTACAAAGCTTAACTTTTGGTCATATGTTCGGTAGCAACATTGAGGAAGTGGCATTGCCAAGCAGTTTGAGAATATTGAGGTTCAACCATAGGTAGGTTTAACCAGAGCCTTGACCGCTTTATTTTTCCAAAGAACTTGCAAAGCTTGGAATTCGGCAGAGATTTCAACCAGAGCCTAGAACGAGTAAGATTGCCAAACAGTCTTCAAAGCTTGGAGTTTGGTGGCCAAACACCAGGCTTTGGACACTACTTGGCCAAGCAACTCGTTGAAGACTCTGATTGAAATCACGACTGAAACTCAATTGCTGTAAATTGCGTGGCCAAGTCACTTCTTCAAAGCTTGGAGTTTGGTGGCCAAACACCAGGCTTTGGACACTACTTGGCCAAGCAACTCGTTGAAGACTCTGATTGAAATCACGACTGAAACTCAATTGCTGTAAATTGCGTGGCCAAGTCACTTCTTCAAAGCTTGGAGTTTGGTGGCCGAACACCAGGCTTTGGACACTACTTGGCCAAGCAACTCCTTGAAGACTCTGATTGAAATCACGACTGAAACTCAATTGCTGTAAATTGCGTGGCCAAGTCACTTCTTCAAAGCTTTGGTTGAAGCTGAAATCAAATGTCAGGCTTCGCAAGCTATCTGGCAAGGTTACACCTTCAAGGCTCTGGTTGAGAGCCTGTCCAAAAGTCAAGTTTTGCAGGTTGCTCGGGAAGGTCACTTGCTTTAGGCTTTGGTTGAAATCACCCCCCAAGGTCAAGCTACACAGACTGTGCAGCAATGTCACTCGTTCCAGGCTATGGTTGAACTTGCTATCGAAAGTCAAGCATTGCAGACCACTGGGCAAGGTCGCTCGTTCCAGGCTCTGGTTGAACTTAAAACCCAGAGTCAAGTTGTTCAAACTGTTCGGCAATGTCACTGCATCAAGGCTCTCTTCATAGTTGCTTCCCAAAGTCAAGCTTTGCAGACTGCTGGGAAAGGTCACTCCTCCAAGGCTTTCGTTGAACCCAGAATCAAATTCCAAAATTTCTAGGCCCACCAAATAATCCAAGGAGGTAGCACCTACTATCCGTGTCAAGCCTTCCAAGGCAAGCTCTTCCTCGGAGACTTCTAATCCTTGAACATGTTTCCATGCTGAAAACAGATCTAGTGGAACGCAAGTCAACGACAGTGTAGAATTGGCCTTGTTCTTGCAGTGTTTGGTCCAGCACCATCGGTGTATGCAGGTGATACACTAGAGGCTTTGCACCTCGAACTAGTGGAAGTTGCTCCAAGATCATCCTGCACACTTCGCGACGCAGGGCTCCAGGACTGACACTTAGAACGCATCCTTCACCACTGAGGCATAGTACATGGAGACAAATCAGGTCAGACGGGTCAGAGCCACCACCAGCACCGGTGGACATCAGAAAAATCCTCTCCTGCTACTGGACAAATTTCACTGAAATCGTTGGATTTGAAGGGAAACGCTGAAGAAACGGTCGTGTCTCCCAGCAATTGAAGAGGTTCTCTGTAAGTTGTCCCGTCAATTCTGGAAAGACAAGGACAACCCATTTCCATCCATGAAGGCCAAACCACCAACACAACATACCGCCATTGCTTTTGTGGAATACCCTTCAACAAAAGTAATGGCCAACCGGTGTAATTTCTGTGTTTATTTCTGTGGCTAGAAAAAATGCCCATCAAACTAACCTTTGGTGTCACCAGTCGGTTTCCCCAGCACTTTTGCTGGATTTGTCCAACGGTGCGGTATGGTCCACCAGTTTGTGGCCATTTTAACAACGGCATTTCTAGTTCATGGATGATGATCCACAATTTATATCAATTTATTGGGTAATTTCACCATTGCTAATAGCCAATCAACCGTCAACCATAATCTACCGATTATATATATATATATCACCATATTTTTGCTGGCTAAAAATACTTATTCTTATGTATATACCACCAGTTTTCAGCAAAGTACCACCCCTATGGTTGATGGTCAAAATCTCTTACTCAGGATACTTAAACCCGTTTTTTGTCTAACCAACAGCTGTTCACATTCACTGCTTCCAAGGGAAGATCATCCTGCTTCGTAAGTCATTCATATCCCTGGTAAGTCCCAAATGGGTTTTAACCCCAGCTATTAACCACTTAGGACCCTGGGGTCATCGTCCAAGTACTAATAGCTAATTGGTAATATTGGTTAAAACTGGTTGGTGGTATACCTACCCCTCTAAAAAATATGAGTTCGTCAGTTGGGATGATTATTCCATATTATTCCCTATGTGGAAAAAATCATGTTCAAAACCACCAACCAGACATACTATTCTACAATAGCTAATTCACAATAACCACTCATGTGCCATTAAACCCGAGATATATCACCAGTTTTTATTCCCATTCATGTCCCATTAAACCCCATTAAAGCCCCTGGATCTTCCCATGGATCCCACGAAATTTTCATCCGACCGGTCGCCTCCTTGACCTTCTTCACCTCGGGCACGTTTGCTGGACTCGCTTCCTGCAAGGCCTCGATTTTCTCATCGGGTGGTCATCGCTTCCAATATCCCAACGGTTCCAACGAGCCAAGAAAAACGAGCCAATTGTGACACTATAACGGCTATAGTGTCAGTTTAGCTGATATATCTATCTCTATGACACTATTGGTTGATATAGTAGATATAGTATCTGGTTATATATAGTATATGATTATATACAGTGATTGATAGATGCAGTGATGACATTATGGTTAATACTAATATAAATATATCAATGACGAAAAACATGATATACCAATTTACCTATTATGCTTGGGTTCCACCTAGCTATTGGATTGTTACAATCATATTGGGAGTTTTAATTATTATAATGGATATGAAGTTGATAAAATACATAAAAATATTGGATATAACTAGCCAACTGATATATTGTGTATATAATAACTAAAATAGGGATGCAATTTATGTAATGAAACAGCACCAACCAATTTGGAATATCGGGAAATAGCACCAACCAAATTGGGATATCCTAAGGATCAATGTGAGAGTAAAAGGGGGGCTTAACTGGATAAAAAACGTTGGATGGAAATGGATGATGTCCACATCTACTTGACGATTCGATCATGTGTTTCTTTTGTGTTTTTTTTTTTCCGGTGTGCTTGAAGATGATCTGGTTGGTGGTTTCAACCTACCCTGAAAAATGATGGAGTTCGTCACTTGGGATGATGACATAGTTCAACTGAATGGAAAGTCATAAAAGCCATGTTCCAAACCACCAATCAGATGTGATATGTCAATGCCGACAAAATGATCACTTCATCGGCAAACACTGATTAACCCCTATAGTCGCCTATAGTCCTATAGTTCTTGGTGGTAGCCTATTTTCAGAAAACGCGAAGTCCAAGCATGGAAAACATACCCCAAAACGATCCAAAAAGGAATTTCACATGGGTAACATCATGATCTTCGGATTACGTGCTGAAGCTTGGATATTATGGATTGCTTGCAATGCTGCCAGATGCCATGGAAAAGGCTGACACACCTGACACACCAACAACAACGTCACTTTACAAAAATCTGGCAAAGTCTATGATGCTCGATCTTTCTACTAAACATGGTGTGTCAACTGCAAATCCTCCTGGTGGGGCGGCCACACATGCCACGTGTCGTATCTGAGAATGGAGGATGTACCTCCAATTATCAGTATTTAATAGGCAACATGACGATAAAGCAAGGGATTCTGGGGTGCTTTTGAAACAAACACATACTGCATGCATATTAGCATGCCCACACATGTCGGTTTCTTGCGCTTGATCGGCATGTCCCAACCATCAAAGAAATTGCGTCACCAGCAACCATCTTGAGGTCATTGAGACAGGGATTCTCACAGTTGGTCAGTGAAAAAACTCCCCATTAACGACCAGTTGATTGAGTATGCACAACAAAAAGAAATCAACCACCATTAAAAACGCACATTTATCCCATGATATATCCAATTTGTGCTGATTAAAAACTCTACGTGACAGTTAGGTCGTTAGGTCCCAATTAACAAATCAACACCCATTTTGGTCACCGCTGCCTCATCCACTAACTTCTTTGTGGCTGAAGCCAGGTGTTTTTGCACGGTTTCCTGGACGCTGTCACCCAAGGACATCCCAGTGGAAGTGGGAGTCCTACAACTTCCACACTTCTAGGGTACCAAGGTTAAGAACAAAAACACCAAACGATTGTCTTCAAACGATTTGATTACCTTAGGTTCCTCACCAGATTACCGCGGTATATTATGGTGCTAAAAGATCCGTTTACAGAAACGTGTCAGATTAAAGAGAGCTGTCACAAAAGCAGTATACATCAATTGTGGATAATTGTGGTCTGTTGATTTCGCGTCAGCCCTGTCAACCAAAACAACAGCTAATTACAACTAACAGGAACCTGGACAAAAATAACCCCCACATATGAACAATGAGCAGCAAAGACTCCATTTGAGTTCAATCTGTTCAGACTGGTCACCCAGCAAACCGCATGTTCCATAGGAAAACCAATTTTTAGCTGGTTAGTACAAAACAACATCTACAGAAGAGACTGCTTAGTTTCAAACTAACAATCTAATGCTTGCATAGAAACGTATACCACGTGAGCCATTAATTTCCATGTTGCATAAACATTAGTTGGTTGTTCCGCTACTATATTCGTTGATATTCCACTATTGTGACCACCAAATCCACCTTTATACCCCCATGTTTGTTGGTTCATTCCCCCATATTTACGACATGTTGGGTGTATTTACTCGTTCTATCCCCATTTGCCGATAAGTTTCCCTTTAATTATATATGTAGCATCCCATCCAAATTGCCATGAGGACACCCCCTGTCCCAGTCCTCCAAGCTCTTGGACTCTCCATCTCCTGGCATACAAACTGTTGCCATGTGTCAAACGGGGAAATGGAGGTACCAACTATCCAAGAATCCTGGACATAGTTGGAGATCATGGACAGAATTGGAATTACTTGGATAATACCGTTGAAAATGGGTCTATTACCCAATGTTCAAACAAAATGTCACTTCACAGAATGAACCAATTATATCCAATTATCCGATCCACGGTTTCAAAATATGACAGCAAATGGGGATCATATGGGATCATCATGCATAGATATCCCAAGTATGATGGCAAAACCTGTACTTGCATGTTTGAAACCACACAAAGTGAAACCCTCCAAGCTTAGATACCCTGCAAAAGAAATGCTGAGTTGGTATACTCGTTGTTTCTGAATTTACATAGCCATGGTATGCCATAGATGACCCATGTAGTTCGATTATGGGGGGAACTCATGCCTGGACCACCCTAAGTTCCACAAAAGTGGTGATCAAAGTAGCTACGAGATAAACTGGACCGACACTGAACCTGATGAACCTGATTCGTGGAGTACTGGTGGATAGCGGCTGTTTCTTGTTTGACCCCAAGCCCTTTCACATGAATGTTAATGTTTGTTCTCACCTGATTCTAGTCCTAGATTTTTCATTCACTGACCTGCTGCATTCTGCAAGTGAGTCATTCACGAGATTTCGAACACTCCTATGAAACAAATCTTCCACTGGAAGCTGGAAAAACCTGGGTCCAAATCTCAGTCCCCACACTCCCCACCATCCCATGTAAAAAACCACGCTGCTTGGTGGTTGATTGGATCATCCCCAATCTGGTTGGGGAAAATAAAACACATGTTCCAAAGCACCAACGTTTGTTGGGATATATGTTGGGATATAGTTGATGTTAAATAGTTATATGTTAGGGATAGATGGATAATATGTTAAATAAAATTATCCCACTCTATATTCATAGAATCGGATTATGGGAAAATTTACAGGAAAACCCTATATTTGATGGTAAAAACCATGGTTTCCTGTAAATTTTCCCTTAAACCAATCCAGTGATATATGTCACTGGAAATCGGATGTCACTGTGTGTCCAGGAAACCAAAAAGATCCCGCGCTCCTGCCCCGGCATCGATCCTGGCTGGGGCCGAGCCGATGTCCGGGATGGAAAACCACACGCTTCCTGGTTGGTGCTTAGGACCTACCCCTCTGAAAAATATGAGTTCGTCAGTTGGGATTATTCTTCTCAATCTATGGAGAATTTTTTAACATGTTCCAAACCACCAACCAGCTTCGTTTGTTACTTGTTGAAAGGCTTTTGGAAAAGACACACGGGATAACAATTGTTTTTTCTGTATGAATGAATGTGTATATAGTAAAATCAGGCTACAGACCTGCATGATGAATCATTATGATT